GGTGAGTGACGGGAGTCTCCTGCTGATTTACTGGAAGGGAGCTGATAATGCGCCTTTAAATAGCCTAGTTATTCACTCAACTCTGCATTGTAATAAATGGAAATCAAATCAGACATTCAGGCTAAAATAGCCCAGCTGTGACTACAGTCCCATGGGAGAATTTTTCCATTTCGACTATTTTTGCCTATTATTTTGAAATGTATATTTTCTGTTCGCTCAAACAATTCGCTGTTTAGCGTAAAGACTCCTGTGTCTCTGTTAAGGATGTGATATATTATATCTTCATGTGAGCTGTGTCAGTACAACTGTTTTTTTAGCAAGAAGCAGGGCCGTCTTTAACGCGGGGCAAACAGGGCAGCTGCCCCGGGCCCTGTCCCTGCTGGGGGGCCCGAGGTAACTGCCCTGTTTGCCCTCTGCCCGCAAACTATGGGGGCCCATCAGGTGGCCCATGCACTTAGGGCCACCCAATGGGCCTGTGTCAGCAAGGGCCCGGTCGGGCGCTGTGGCGCTTTAACAGCGTGACCGGGCCCTTGCTTTTCGGCAGCACTGGGAGGAAGTGACAGCCGTGCGTCACTTCCTCCCACAGAAACAGGAGCCGCGCAGGAGGAAGGAGCTGTTCCGGAGGGGGCCAGGCCGGGAGAGCTTAACTCCCAGTCACCACAGCCAGCCCACTGAACCCCAGGGAAGCCACCCTCCAGTAAAAGGTAAGAAACTGGAGGGTGGTTATCAAATTTTGCATGAGTGTGTCAGTATGTGTGTATGTCTGTTAGTGTGCCAGTATGTCTGTCAGTGTATCTGTATGTTTGTGTGTGTGAGAGTCTGTCAGTGTCTGTGTGGTTCAGTATGTCTGTATATGTGTGTATATCTGTCAGTGTGTCAGTATGTCTGTGCATGTCTGTCAGTGTATGTCTGTCAGTGTGTCAGTATGTCTGTGTGTGTGAGAGTCTGTCAGTGTCTGTGTGTATATGTGTGTTTCAGTATGGCTGACTGTGTGTGTCAAAATGTCTGTATGTGTGTTTGTCTGTCAGTGTCTGTGTGTATGTGTGTTTCAGTATGTCTGTCTGTGTGTATGTGTGCCAGTATGTCTGTCAGTGTGCCAGAAAATCTGTGTGTGTGTGTCTGTCAGTGTCTGTGTGGTTCAGTATGTATTTGTGTATGTGTGTTTCAGTATGGCTGTCTGTGCGTGTCAAAATGTCCGTACGTGTGTATGTCTGTCAGTGTCTGTGTGTATGTGTGTTTCAGTATGTCTGTCTGTGTGTATGTGTGCCAGTATGTCTGTCAGTGTGCCAGAAAATCTGTGTGTGTGTGTGTGTCTGTCAGTGTCTGTGTGGTTCAGTATGTATTTGTGTATGTGTGTTTCAGTATGGCTGTCTGTGCGTGTCAAAATGTCTGTACGTGTGTATGTCTGTCAGTGTCTGTGTGTGTATGTGTGTTTCAGTATGTCTGTCTGTGTGCAAGTGTGCCAGAATGTCTGTATGTCTGTCAGTATGTCTGTGTGAGTCTGTCAGTGTCCATGTGGTTCTGTATGTCTGTGTTTGTCAATATGTCTGTCAATGTCTGTGTGTATGTGTGTTTCAGTATGTCCGTCTGTCTGTGTGTATATGTGCCAGTATGTCTGTCAGTGTATCTGTATGTCAGTGTCTGTGTGGTTCAGTATGTCTTTGTGTATGTGTGTTTCAGTATGGCTGTCTGTGTCAGTACGTCTGTCAGAATGTGTCTCTGTATCTGTATGTTTTCCGTTTGTGTGTGTATCTGTATGTGTCAGTGTTTGTA